TAGAAAAATCATTTTAAAAGAATCAATTTCATAGTGAGTTTCATTAGCTGGAATGCAGTAGCAATGCAGTAGCTCAACTCAGTCAAAATGGAAGTGTTGAAATGTATGGTAGTGGAGTTGTGCTAATTTATTTAGCTTTGAAACACTAATGAGAATAATACTAGAGTCTGCATGGCTTTGGTAAACTGCAGTAATACCAGAGCTAGCCAGTAGTACCAGACAGTATTCTTATAATGGAAAGAAGAGAGGAAGTTAAAAAGAATTCTCGGATATAGAATGATAGAATATAGGGATGGTGGGACCTCAAGGTCATTTAGCTCAGTGGGTGACCTTTTTTGGTAGACATCCACACAAGTTCAGCCCCATGCCCTCCCCTAGTGTCGCTCTGATCTCTGTCCCCTGCCTGACTTGCTGCTCCCCTTTCTCCTCCATGCCCTATCTACCAGCGTGTTCCCCCCTCTCTGATCTGTCAGATGCCACACACAGAGGCTGTGCGCCCCACGTCAGGCACGTATGCTGCAGGTTGGCCACCCTTTGACTAATTCAAACCCCTGCATTGAGGCAAGTATACTCAAGCCAGGCCATACCCAAAAGATGTTTAACCTGTTTTTAAAATCGTCCAAAGAAGGGGGTTCAACAAACTCCCTAGATAACTTGTTCCTAGCGTTTACTACCATTAAATGTAAAAACATTGCTCTAATATCCAACCTGAATCTTCTTTGCTGATTTCTTTGTGTGGACATGGCGAACAATTGATTAACTTCCCAGTCATAACAAACTTTTGTGCATTGGAAAACTGCTACTGTGTCTCCTTCCAACTTCAATTTTCCACACTGAATCCAGTTCCTACAACCTTTTGTCTTGTATCATTCTTGCTGCTCTCCACCGGATTCTAAGTAGGACCTGGCTTTGGTCCAAGGAGACTTGTGGAGATGTGGGGCGTAGAAAATTTCTGCAGTCCACGTGAATTATGGGGCTGGCTAAATGAAACTGCAGAGGAATAAGAAATCCTGGGAAGTGAGATTTAAGAGGAAAGGCTGAAAGAACTAGGGTTATTTAGTCTGGAGATGAGAAGACTTGTTGGGGGAGGAAGGGGGGATTTGATACCAGTCTTCAAATACCTGAAGGATGACTATAGAGAAGACGGATATGGGTTTTTCTCTGTGGTCATAAGGGATAGGGCTAGGAGCAATGGCCTCACACTGCAGCAGAGAACATTTAGGCTGGAGATTAGGAGGAACTTTCTGACTATAAGGTTGGCCAAGCATTAGACTAGGCTACATAGAGAAATTGTGGAATTTCCATCCTTGGAAATTTTCAAGAGCCAAACCGGACAAATATTTGGCTGGGATGATTTAGTCAGGGATGATCCTGCCTTGAGCAAGAAGCTGGACTAGATGACCTGATGAGGTCCATTCCAGCCCTACTCTGCTAAGATCCTAAGTACTTTTCTTTTACATGGCAATCAAGTCACTCCTTAACCTTCACTTTGTTTAAGCACACTGAGTACCTGGAGCCTTTCACAATAAAACACGGGTTTCCAAGCCTTTAGTCATTCTTGTCTTTTCTCTGAATCCTCAACAGCCTTCTTAAATTACAAACACCAGAACTAGACACAGTTTTTTAGTAGTAGCAACAGTGCTGGGTACAGAGTCAGTTTGATCTCCCAACCCAATGTTCCTGTTTTATACAAAGATCCAAGGCTTGCAGTAGAAATGTTGGCCACAGCTACTCACTCGTGGCTTATATCCAAGCACATTATTCACCATGACCACTGAGGCCTTTTCAGAATCACTCCTTCTCAGAACAAAATCCTCCCTCTTGTATGTCAGACCTACATACTTTGTTTCTAGATATGTGACCTGGACAAGTTTTAACACATATTGTTTGTTCCCAGTTTACCAAGCAAATCAGATTGCTCCGTACCAGTGACCCATCCTTGTTATATACCACTCCTCCAATCTTTGTGTTATATGTAAGCTTTCTCAATAATGATTCATTCATGTCAATCGTAAAAATGTCAGCTAGCACATCACCAATAACCAATCTCTCTTTCCCCACTCTAGAAATATATCATCTCAGTGGTAATTCCTTTGTTTAAACTTACCTTTTGAGACCTACAAATTTACTGATTTTGAAGTTACCTAACATATGCCATATTCACTTTGTATCCTTTTAATTCCTTAAGCAAAATAGTGAGAGGTACCAAGTGGTTTATAGGATTATCAACTAAACTTGTAATCTTATACCAAGTTTGACAAGACCTATTTTCCATAAACCCACATTGATTGACAAAAATTTAATTTCCCTCCTTTAATTCTTTATTGATCCAGTCCTGTTTCAGCTTTTCTGCATTTGAACCTGACACTAATACCAGGCACACAGGCCTATAATTACCTGGCAGTTTTCTTTAAAGTCAGGAGTAATTCAGCCAAAGTCAATGGAGCTATGCAAATGGAAACTAGTACAACTGAAAGGAAGCAAGAATCTGATGTTATTTTTATGTAACTAATACAAACCTAAAACAGCATTCAGTGCAAGAATGTAAAGCAAAAAGCATTTTCATTTTGTTTAAAATTAATTTTAGCTCTAAATGAGCCACATAAATACCAAAATATGCTATGTAAATGCCTTGCTAATTGTCGGATGATTAAGGCACTGTAACTGAAGCCAACCAAGAGCAAGCCACTGCAGATGTTAGCATTAGCCATTTTAAAGCTTTTTACTATTTTTAAGTGTTGAAAAAGAATATAAAACATGTAATAATTCAAATTAAAAATGCACAAACTTAAAGTAGCAGTGTTTTGAAAATAAGATACCATAGTGACACGTGTAAACACTTCGTAATTGTACTGTGCCCTCATAAATAATTACGATTATTCCAACTATTCTCTCAGCTGCCAAATCCAAGCAGGGGGCAAATGCATCATTTAAGTGCACAAACATTTCACGGATTTTAAACACATGACAACTGAATGTTCTTCCTTATTACTATAGTATTATCGACTAATTAGGAGGAGAACTGAAATAGGGAGGAGGGGTAATTTTCTTATCTTAAGGTCAGGTTGTTCTTCTTACGTGGGGAACAAATACTTTAATTTTTCCAGCAGTATGAAGTTAGGGATTGGTTGTGTGTGGGGGCTTTGCTTACAAATGTCTGGAGCTGGATCCTCAGCTGGTTTAACTGTTTATATCCATTTAGGTAAATGGAGTTGGTATTACCAGCTGTGGATCTTGTTTCTATATTTTTGGAGTACGCAGTTTACACATCTTTTAACTCCTGGAGTTTCAATTTGCAGGCTGTCTGCATAGTTTTGTCATTTCTGCATAAGTTGACACCCCACAAATGCAAATAAAAACCAAGAGAAGCAAAATTATATGACACAGTACTAAAATCCCAAGGAAAACATGTCCTTACTAGTCTCTATCTGCCCCACTCCAATTCCTGTTTTCACATTACTTGCCTCACATATTCAGCTGTTGTGTCCCTACTTGCCTCCCTAATCAAGGGAGGCTTCATGTTTTCTTGGTGGGCTTAGGCCCAGGTGGGCACAACAAATAAGCTTCTATCAGTGGCCAGCACCAACTGTTTCAGGGAAAGGTGCAACAACCCTGAAACCTTGCACCCACAGTAAGTTTCTTTTTAACTCCCTATACTTAGAAGCTGACATTTGCTCCAAAGCCCTTTCAAACTGCTTGATTTGTTACTATTTCCTTCTGTGAAATACAATATACTCTATTATTCCTCTAAACATCCAGTGGTTTTTGGAGTCCTGCTAAACTCTTGGCCTTCGTATCTGGTGGCAATAAGTCCCATTGACATATTGTGTGTTGTGGGAAATGCCAGTTTTGGCTTTGCCACACCTTTCAGTTTCACTCAATAATTTTCTTTCATGTACTATGAAGTAGAATGTGTGGACACTTCTACTCTACCTTATGTACACTGTTCATTATTGTTGAGGATTTTATTGTACCCCACCATGTTGTTTTCTGTTTTGATTTCTTTGCTGTGTTTCTTCTGCTTTCTTTCCCCCATCGTCTGTCTAGGACAGGGGTAGGCAACGTTTTTTGGCTGGGGTGCAGAAAAAACCACAATGTCTACCTTGGAAGGTGCTGGAGTGCTGACATGCTGGAGCCCAGAGCAGCTGTTTACAGCCTTCTGGCTGCAGCTGGCCCACAAAGTCCAGTCTGCTTGCTTCGTGGCTGGCAGCAGCTGCTTAGAGCCCAGGCTGGTGGTGGTGTGCGGAGCAAAATGGCCATCCGTCCCATGCTCGGCACGTGTGCCAGGGGTTGCTGACCCCCGGTCTAGGATCTTTTATAGCAACCATCACTGTAGGAAACAAGGACTAAGCAAATATTTATAGATTTCTCTCACAATGGTTTGTGAGGTAGAAAAGCATTGTTTTCTCAATTGTACAGATGAACCGAGGCAGAGAGATGAAATGACCTGCTCAGAGTCAAAAAGCAGGGAAATATTATTTGCATCATTGTAAAGACTAACAAGGCCCCATGGCTCTATGCTACAAACATTGGACAGTTACTGCCTCACTGAGCTTATCATCTAAACAGACAAGACAGACAAAGGTCAAGGGAAAGTTTTTATATAACCATGTGGCTAGTCCAATAAAAGATACCACCCACAAGAATTCTTGCCTCCTGCATATGTCCTGGACCTTCACAGCAACATCATCACCTTAACATTACCATAACACACACATTGTGATCAACGTGGTGGTGGCAGTAACACCCTTGTATTTAAAGTTTTTTTTTTCCTAGGGGGAATTAGCTAAATGGAAAAACAAAGGATCGGAGAGAGGCTACTAAAGTAAGGCATTTAGGGGGACAGGGCATAGGATTTATAGATTCTGAGGGCAGAACAGACCACAAAAGCACCTCATCCGACTTCCTTGATAGAATTTTACCCTTTCACTGAGTGCAATTATTTGCTTTTTGACTTAAAATATCTTCCAGAAAAGCAACTAGTCTTGACGTAGAGGCACCAAGAGATGGACCACCCATTGCAGCTCTTTTAGAGAAGGGGACTGTCGAGGGAAGTGGAAGGTGGCCCCAGTGAAGACATGGTCAGCAGAAGGGAGCAGACAGCCAAGGGAAGAAGATGCCTAGCATGATCCTGGTGGGAACCAGCCTGAAGCCCCGGCCACCAGCCCCTGCACCTACGCCTGCCTCCTCCTCCAGTCCTCCTCGGCTAGCTCCACCCAGGCACTGGTGCTCTGACCTGCCAATCTCAGCTCTTCAGAAGTCATGGGTGAGGCCTTAAAAAGATAGCAGGGTTTTAAAAAACGAACACACGCCGGGCTGTTTTCTGGGCCTTTAAGAGACGCAGTGGTGGGGCGGGGCCCACATTTTTAACCTTTGATCTGGCACCCTGGGAGGGGAGAAAGTTACTTTTTCGGGCGTAGGAAAGGAGCGAGCCTCCCCTAATCGCAGCCCCCAGGAGCAGGGCGGCTGTCCAGGAAACTGCCCAGTTTCACAAGGGACAGACACTGAGGGCTGGCCACGCTGCCTTTCTTCAGCTGCCCCCCTAAGGCCCCGTGCAGGAGGCGGGGGGCAGACACAGGGATCCTGCTGCCCCTGCTAAGATGATGGGGGGGGGGAAATCACTCTGACAGGTGCTGAGGGGGCAAAGGGGGGAGGGGAGATCCGGCCCAAGTCCCCCAAGGCAGCCCGGCCGCCTCCGTTTCCCTCGGCAGCCGGGCACCCAGCGCGCACTGCGCAGGCCGGAGGCGGGAACTGCGGCTGGGTCACGCGGTCTGCGCGCGGGAAGCGCCCCGCCTGGGCCTACAGGCCCGCAGGTAAGTGCCTCGCGGGCCGGGCGAGCGGGGGCTCCCGCGGGAGGCGCCGACTGGGTGGGGACCGGGGGTGGTCAGTCCTGCCCCGAGCCGGGGAGCGGCCCCTAGCGTTGCTAGTCCCGCCCGGCAGCCCCGATGGGAGGCAGCGTCCCCGCCGCGGCCGCTCGGGCCTAGGAGGGTCCCGGCAGCTCCCCGGCCCCGCGCCGCCGCTTCGGCTTCTTCCCTGCGGCGCGCAGGGATGTGTGAGGTGCGGCCGCGTGTGCACCGGCGAAGGAAACCTATAAGGGGAGAGCTATATACACACACTCACATCTGTACCTGTATCTGTATATCTTAGTATTTGCATATCTACCTATATATTGTGTGCATATGTACCAGTACATATATACTGATGCATCTGTGTATATTCATGCATTGTGTGTGTATATGCACCAACACATACATGCACATTCTACCATGTACATATGTGTGTGCACGCACAAACGGGCTGATACATACTGTAAAATACATAACGCGTATGGATGTACCAGTAGACACATCCCTTTGTTTCCTTTTTGCTCACATCAGCCGGGGTGACAAGGTTGCTGGTTACCAAGGTGTTGCTTTTGCGGGTTGTGTGGGTAGTGCCTGAGAAGCAGGAAGAGAGTCAAGAAACAGCCCCTAGTGGTGTTAGAAGGGAAACATGAGGCTTTCATGCCCAGATGATGTACTTCTCACTAATACTTGTTTTCTTCCTGTATTAGCATTGAAAGGTTTTATCAAAACCAACATGCCGTCATACCAGGTACTGTACCAGCACGTGAAGCCGGGCCTTGCTTGGTAGTGCAGAACACATCATGTAAAGCAAGACACAGGAAGCAAGTATTAAATGGAAGAGAAAGGGCAGAAGGTAAAGGTAGCACAGCAATTGAGCCTATAATTGCACAGCAGTCTTATATACCTTAGGTTTTCTATTTGCTTTGCTAGGGTACATTTTACTTGACAAACCCAGTTTCATTTGGTCAACTAATGGCTCAGCAGCTTTTCCACCAAAATGTTAACCATCAAAGGGAGCAACAGCATAGAAATTCAATTGTATAATCCTGTCTCATCCAACTGTAGTGTTTGGCAGAGGAAATAATGTGTCCACAAAATAGAAAATGTGTTGGTTTACAACTTTATGTATTCCCTCCCCCTTTCAGTTGTGCTTTCTGTCTTAATTTCAGACAGCAAGCAAGCTGTTAGATGCAGTCAGTTAGGGCAGCAGAGGCCAATCATCGTTTTGCTTTTGCCAGAAAAATCCCTTAAGTGTCCAGTGTGGTATCTGTCTTAATGTTTCACATTTACATTGTAGTACGCAACCTCTTTTGGCAGAAGGGGCAGGAGGGCACCTTAAAAACTACGAGTCAAAGAGATGTGAGCTTTCACAGGCAACAGCCTGCTTCATCAGATGCTATGAAAGGCTGAAAGAAAAATGAGTCTTTTCTTGGTTTTTGATTTAACATTAACATCCCAAAATGAGATGCTCTTACAAACTTTGGTGAGTGATAAACATGCTGTTAATTGCTTCTATTCCTCTAGTTTTTCTTAATCTGATAACTATCCATATTATTTTAGCAGGATTTGGAAAAAGCACTTGCTGAATTATCTGATATTTTGCAACTTTAAAGCTAAACTATAACACTGTTCCAAAACATTATAATCTTTTTAACCTGTTGTTAGGGTTGAGCATATTCAGGTTAAAGTAATGCTGTGAATTTGCTGGTGGTCAGTATTTAGTATACTATTTTTACTTCTGACTGCTTGGAAAAAAATGGTGTCACCTCACATTGTGCCCACTCCACCCCAGATTAAGATAATAAATTGAGGAGGATTGAGAAGGTAAGATAGTTATTTTGTACTGGTTCTTACTGGTTATGGCCTCCAAGATTAAAATGGTGCAAATCAGCCCAAGTTCTCTCTCCTGATTTGAGGGGAAACAATACTGCATTTGCACATATATATATATATATATATATATGGAAAGCCATCAGGGTATGCAAACTAAGTGAAAGTGTTCAAGTGTTACATTCAGAATTACAGAATAGCCTTTCTAGCCAAAGCTCCCATCTAGCAATGGTAAGAGTCTCTTATCCCAGGAGTTGAAAAATCTTTGTCCACAAAGACCTCAAGTGCCTGTGCTTACCTGGCTGGCCTCTCTGCAGTAAGAACAAACAGGCAGGAAAGTGCTGCAGAGCTGTAGGCTGCTCAGGGCAAAGTCAGACCTTCCTGGGTTGGATCTGACTCAAGCTTTAGGTTGCCGAGCCCCATCTTAGTCAATTTAATGGGAGTTCTGTGCCTCTGGTAAGAAGCAATTGGGAACTTGTTATGCTAGCTTGCAGTTTAATAACATCATTTAAAAACTATGTAAGGGAGTTGATTTATAGCTCATACATCCCCTGAACAAATATGACAAAGCTACATGAATTATTAACACTTTTTTTCTCCCTACAGGTTGTATGATGGAGAACTCTGTAACAGAAGACCATGGAATTTGTCAAGCCTTTGTTGTGTTAGATATTTACACTTCAGTTTTTGATCTTTTAAACTGAATTTAAGTTTAGGCAACACTAACTTTTTCCAAGCACAAGTAGTAAAAATAGTATAATTACTGGCTGTCGGTATTCAAGAACCAGGTTGTGGTAATAGAAAGGACATTTAATGTTCCACACAACTATTCTCATTTTGTACTCCCCTCACTCTGTATTACTTGACAAGAGTACAGTTACTCAAATCCAGGATTTTTGATACCCATGTTAAAGGCAATTATGTGGGACACTTATCTATAACTTATTGGTGATGGGCAAGCTTTCTTACAGTGTTACTTCAGATTAAAGTACCAGCCAACACTTGGAAAGGTAATCCAAGAGAGAAAGTTAAGGCTTCTAGTGTAATGCAAAGTCTGAAGTGCTGACGTTGTATCTGTATATGACTTTTGATGTCCCTTCTAACCTAATTCTGTGATTTCTGGTATGTCTTGATAAAGCATAGCACATCAAGGTAACAGACTAACAAGTAAATGATGCACCCTCTTCTCTCCCTTGAGTAGTCTGGATTTCTACCATTTGGCTGGAATTGAGGGAATAGCATGGCAGGGATATTTAAAAAAAAAACAAACTATAGGCTGCAAGGCATGGCATGGCACGGCACGGCACATTATGTTACAGCATAAGGGCGTGTTGGAGTACAATGTGACTAGCCCTTCTGTGATCAGGCTGTAGAACAGATGGGAAGAAAGGAG